AAGACTGTCTGCAGTTATTAAAGCAAAAGGGGGAGACGTAAAATATTAACTGTTTGCTGAACTCAAGCACTTCCACTGAGTTTCTGTTGCACTAAATATGAAGATTAATAAAATTTTAATGTTTCAACTGTGATTTACCTTTGAAAGTAGTCTGAAATCTAATTTTTGACTTTGTCCTAACACTTTTGCACAGTACTGTATATGAGTTCAAGATTACTGCTGAGCCATTGGGTATCAGTTTATAATGAATTTGGCACATGAATAAAAAATAATTGTAAGGATATACAGTAACAGTAAAACTGTATAGGAAATTTTAGAATGTTTTAAAGTTTATACAGTGTTATGATTGGTAATGCTAAAAAATGTTATTTTAGCATATATGGTGTACATTTTTTAAACCACATACAATGTTCAGGGTTTTATGATTTGCAGCTAGATCTAATAAAAAAGTATGATTAAAATAAAGTTAATAAATTTCACAATTTGCTCCACTTTAACTGGAACAAGTGGCACATGAATATGAGCAATCTAAAAGTCAAAAGTCGAAAGTACAGTACAGTACATTCATATGTTTATGAAATACATATATTCCACTTACTTTAAAACAGATCATTCTTCAAAATGAGATTTAAAATAAAAAATATCAATAATTTTTCTTTTGATGTTATAAATTTATAACTTGTCAATATAACACTACTGACTTTTCCAAATTGACATATGGCTACGGGTCGCCTTTCTATCAAATAACCTGCTCTGCTGGTCTATATGCACTTTGAAATGACATAAACCATAACAACTTAGCTTATTACTTATGCTTCAGGAGATATGACTGTACTTTCAGGAAAAGGTTTTTATATAGCTTATTACACATACTTACTGTTGACTTCATTACTGCTTATTAGCATATTTAACACAAAATCTGTAACATTAACATAAGTTTAAACCCCCTTCAAATTTTTCTACAAAACAAACTACATGTATGTTGAACTAACAGAATTTTCATTAATTACATTAATTTTCTTACATTTTATTATAAATAAAAAAATTGTATTCCTCTCTCCACTTCCAACTGCCTGAGTTCTTGGTTAGAAGCAGGTAAACATGTCCTTATAGCATTTATAGTAATACACAGCTAACTGATAATATTAGAGATTGTTTAAACAAAGCTACTTTTTTTCAGTGGTAGATTTATCAGTAAACACATATTAGCACAAAACTATACATTAATTCTACTATGCTGAGTGCAATGGAAGAATAAATGCTAATGTAAACTATGCCCTTAACTGTTCATTAAATGATATAAAATGAAAAATTCATAAATATGGAGTTTATTATCTTTTAGTAGTCTATAAATTAACTTGCAAGTAAATGTATGCAGAGTTACCTGTTCTGGAGTTCTATCAAACAGTTTCTTAAGCTGCTCTTTCCGTCTTCTCTCATGATCAGCATCAAATCCTCTCAACTTTGGTTCCTGTCCTGGCTGAGCTCGTACCTATAAATATGAATTTTTCAACAGCTGGTGTAAAATCAGTCAGATACAGCACTATGTATAGCTTATGCAGCAAGCACCAAATATCATAACTACTAAGTTTTAAGTACAGCATCAATACTACTGTTAGATCTATATGTATATACAACTGTTTTAATTTAAGTGTAGCAATAGTTTATCACAGGTTTGTTTACGTAACTGTATATGAATCATATGTTGCGTAGTCCAACTGTTGATAATTGGCACTTCTTGTGTAATTGCATCATGTTACTAGAATTTTCTAAGTTTTTCTCGAGTATTATTACATCATAATATTTTGTAGTATGTGGAAAGTTTTAGACTGCTGTTGGGTTATTTATAAATACACATCCAAAATTAGTTCAAGTTAAATAAGACAAAGTTAGATGGATAGATAGATTTAGACTGTATGATTGTGAGTTTAGCCATAAGGGTGTATAGTGGCTATTTCTAAAGTGAAATTATCGCAGATTGTATTGTAACATTAGAGTAGAGAAAAATAATTTTTCTTCTAAATTATGTTCTAAAGTAATTGACAAACCTGTGTGGACTTTTGTATGAAAGAAGATGATTATTTAAAGCTCTGGACACAACTGTGGTGGTTAATTGTGTAATGTATATCTGTATATAAGTTTGACTTGTTTTAATATATTATTTTAAAACAAGTGGACTGTGTGCTGTTTGTTTATTGTTGAAATATATCACCAACAAGTCACAGACAACTACTGTAAAGAATCCTGCCCATCCATATATAAAAACCTGAAAAATACAAAAGCAGGAATAATACTGTCCATAAATGAAGCCATTAAATAAAATAATCCATATTTTCAAAGGCTTGATAATAATAATAATAAAAAAGAAAAAAACTGAAAAATTAATAAAAAAAAGAAAAAATTGTCCACAACAGAGATGATTCTCTGAACCTGAAGAAACTATTTAGTTGTAATAACTTACAGAAGTATATGGTGTCCCTTAAATTTTTTCAGTAAAACAATAAATAACAGAAAAACAAAACAAAAAACATATACAAGGATAAAGAATACTCATTAATGTTCACCTCACTAAAAAGTTTGTATGAATGGTAATTTACCAAGAGTTTAAAGTATTTGTGTTAATTAACGATCTGTGTGTGTACAAGAACTACATGAAATGCAACAACCATTACCTTTCTAATCATATCCTTTGAACTAAGCTACAACTCAATAAGTGTGCGTTTTCTTATAGCAATGCCACAGTGGGCTACCTGCTGTGTCCACCAAGGGGAATCAAACATCTGATTTTAGAGTGACAGAGTGTGGAAAGTGGTGTGTGTGTGTGCACATCTTGACTCAATTGAACAGACATCAGATGGAGAAGGAGGGCAGGTTTGTTAGTGCATGCTTTCCTCAACTCAACTGAACGGGAGATGACTGCAGGAATATGGCACATGTTTATAATGTGCTCACCTTGACTCTACTGAGCAGACATCAGCTGACGGAGAAAGGCATAGTTTGTTGGTGCATGCTCTACTCACTCAACTGAACAGGTGATGTCCACAGAAGGAAGGAAGGCACAGGTGTATAGAGAGTGCTCACCTTGACTCTGTTGAACAGACAAGACCTCAGTGTAGGTGTGAATGCTTACCTTGACTTTACTATATAGTTGCAGGCTGCAGGATAAGGCCACAGATCTTATAATGTGATCTCCTCATCTCAACTGCAGGATGAGAGCCAGTATCATACTATATGTTGTTCAAGCCCCAGTGGTTAGGTCTCAATCAGTGAGGATTCTCCATGATTCACCACACTAGTAGCTAGGAACTGGTAAGTGGAGTCTCCTTTGTTCCATTCAAAGAGAAAAGGGAGGAGGAATTCATAATAGGGAGAACTAGAGAAAATGCCTGGATTCCCATTAGTCCTTCAGCCAGAAAGGTCTTTACCTGGAGACAGTATAACAGATCATGTATCTCCATTTTGAAAAGCAAGGACGTGTGAGCCATGGAAGTAGGCAGAGCACTCCCTGGTACTGGTTTTCTCCAATGATAGCTCACAGAATAGGTATGGTTTGGATCAGACAGTAGTCAGATATATATAAATGTACCATGAGGGTACTTCAAGTGGTCTTGCAGAACATCCCATCTCACAGTGAGCATATGGTACGAGTGCTTTCCATTATCCTGGCTCAATGTAGAATTTGGGAGATAAGTATACCCTGGGAGGCACCACCAGCCACTTGGTGGGATCCTATAAGCAAATACTGTAACTAGAAAAAGGAAGCATACTCACCTGTCTAAAGACAGTGAGTATGCTGCAGGATGGTGAATGGAGGTAGGGGTAACAATCATGAGATAAGACAGCAAAATGGTGAAAATAGTGGGAGATAAAGGTGTGAGAGGCAGTCCACATGCCAGCTTGAAGGATCTTGTCATGTGGCCATTAGTAACAAGCAGCAGGGGAATAAGTGAAGTGATGAACCTAATGGGATGAAATGCAGAATAGCCTTCGAGCACTGTCCTCCAAGGAGGAGTTGAATTTGATGGAGCCAACCTGCATGGGGAAAAAGAAATACATCCCTGGAGGAAGAGTAATCCAAGAGAATGAAGAGTCAAAGACAAGAGCCATGAAAGTGAGAGGTATGAGCTAAGTAGTAATGAATGACATGAACAGGGCACAAAAGTCTGTCCAGGTCTGACTGATCATAGAGGCGTGAAACAGAAGGAATGGATAGGAGAAAGGAGTGGACACTTTCTTGAGCAACTGAAGTCTTGGGAAGGAAGGAGAAGTCATGATAAAGAAGTATATATGAATGATGGAAATGGGTATGGGAAGAGTCAATAGCATAGATTTCTGAGTGGCGGTAACCATAGGCAAGAAGTAAGAGAAAACAGATCTTAAGAGAAAGGTGGTATGAATTGCAGGTTGCCAACAGCTTGAAAGGGGCATGGTTAAGAGCATGCAGGATGACATAGAGGTCACAAATGGGCATGAAAAGAGGGAAAGGAGGTTTATAGATAAGGAAGGATCAGAACAAGGTTGAGAGAACTGGGGAGGAAAAACTCTGGGGTATTGAGAAAGGAAAAATTGTTGTAGACAAGGCTGCCCAATAACCAACAATGGTGGACAGCTAATCGACTGTTGAGCAACCATGTAAAAAGAAAAAGAGTTGGCCAATAAGAGAACAGTCAGGAGGAAGATGGTGATGGATGGAACAATGTCAAAAGACATGTCACTTATGCTGGCAGATGCATAAGGTAGAAGGATGACAGGAATGAGAAAGGAAAAAGGCAACAAAATTGGAAAGCCCAGTTCAAAAATTGATGGACCAGACAAATCTCAAACATGTAAGTGAAAGGACAAGATCCCCTTATGGAACAGTGACATGTGAGGTTGAAGTAAGAGAGATAGTATAATTGGCAAGAAAGAGGGGGTTTGGTTGTCAGATGAATGAGAAAAGATAACCAAGTTTGAGCAAGCGAGGGATACCACCAAGAGGATAAGACACGTCTAGGGTCTGAGGTAAAAGATGGAGAGGCTGGTAAGGATAATAAAAAAAAGATGAGACCAGTTCTAGCTGAAATCATCTAAAGCCAGGGTTGAGGGATGGGGAATAGGTGAACAGAAGAGAGGAAGCTTGGAAATGTCAGTGTTGGCAAAGGGATTGATGAATGGAGTCCCCAGGAGAGAGAGAGCACACCCAATGGAAAATCTGGGGGAGAAAAGACCATTCCGCAGATAAAACACAATCTGCCTGAGAGAGAGGTTGTCTGCAACCAGGTTCATAGCACCCGGTATATGGCAGGCAATGAGACAAATGTGTTGAGAATTGGCTCAATAAGGAAGGTCCAGGTTTTGAAAGAAAAGAGTCCCCCTTAGTGGATGATATAGGAAAAACTGTGAAGTTGTCAGAATAGGTCATAATAAAATGATTCAATAAAAGGGATAAGAAACTGAAGCATGCCCGATGGACTACTGGAAGTTTGCACTGATATGGAAGGTCCATGTGCCAGATGTGAAATTATTGTTCAGAGATGCTCCTCAACCAGAGGGGGAAGCATAAGTGAAGAGATGCAGGTCCAATTTGGGAAGAGGTAATGGAACATCAATGATGATATTTGATTGGTCCAGCCACCAATACAAATCTTCAAGTAGAGGATAGGACCGGTGGACTGCTGAAGCCAATAGTTCCCGAGAGTGGTTCTTCTGATCATTAATGGAGAAGGTGCATCTGAGTGCGACTCAAAGGGATAAACAGATCCAGTGAAGTCATGTTCTCCAAAAGCTAAAAACCTCTCATGCAATACAAGTAGGACAGGTGAGAATCCTGGAGACCAGTAGTTAAATAGTTGAAAGACAGATGAGAGAAGGCTGAGCACAGTTGAGATACGGGTTGAAAAACACTCCCAGGTGAAAAGATACTGAGTAGGAGTGATAAAAATTTTGAAATGTTGACTAACACTGACTCCTCGAGATGTTCTAGGTAGAAGGGATCAGATGGAGGAGAAACAAAAAACAGGATGAGGGCTGAGAGGAAAGGGGAAAAAATTGGAAAGTCCATGTGTAAAAAGTAGAGTAACCCCTATGGTGCTTGAACTGTGACAGACAGGCACCCACAGGACCCAACTTGATTTAATCATAAACAACGAGCTCGACAAGTCTGAAATGGGGTTGAAGAGGATGCATGAAGAAGCTAGCTTAACTGTGTGCAATTTTTTCTCCTTTTGTTTTACTGTTCCAATTTATTACAGTACACAATATATCTTATATTATTCTTTGTAATCAAG